TATACGTATCTAAAACGGAATTTTTTAACCAAATCGGAATGGGATTTGGTCCTTGCACCTAGGGATGTTAACAGTCCGGTCTGGTTCAGTCTGGTCAATTTTGGTCCAAGTCCAGTCTGGTCTATTATGGTCTTCTGTCTTAAGACTTTGCTAGTCCAGACCGGTCCAGACCGATTCAGTCTTAAGGCTTAGAGCAGACCAATTTTTTTTAGGCCCAGACCGGGCTTAAAACTAACTGTGGTCTATTAGTCTAAGACCGGACCACATAACATCCCTACTTGCACCTGATCTTCAAATTTAATTAGTCATCGTGCCTAAGGCGATGGGTACGAAGCCTAGGAAACTTCTTTTATCATTACAGTTATTACAGTGTCACACAATAGGTATGCGCCCAACTGTATAATTACAGAAGAAATTGGAATCGGTTAAAATTTTTCATTTAACCGTGTTAATCATTTATTGCGATTTGCATAATTTTTTGTAAACTTTGTAGAACAAAAAAAAAATCAAATCATTTCTAGGTGATTTCTGACTACATGTCCAGATATCGGAGTAGTTTTAAATCAGAAACCACCTAAGAATCGCAAGTGATTTTTTTTGCAAATTTCGCAAACCACAATAATTCAGCTGGCATTAAGTTAATTTTGCCCACGACTAATATAATTCAGCACAATAAACTAGGCATAATTAAATTTAAATAAATTGGTTTGAAAATTAGATATAATTTTGACTAAATTATATACTTTTTTTGCTTGTTATATTATATATAAATATCGAAATATATAGTATTTGAATATCATAGTTTTTAAATAATGCAATAGAACGTTCTAACTAATTTAACTTTTAATAAATATGTAGTAATACATTCCTATATGCAAATGTACGTTTTGGCAAATTAACTCGTCAAATATATATGACAAATAAATTGACACTTGAATTTTTTTTCTACGAGCAAAAGATGTTATTAATTGTATAAACAGAATCCGTAATTCTAGTTAAAGATCCACCCAATATTCTGCCCAGTATTTTGGAATAGGCCAAGATTATTATTAAGTTGATACTTATCCGGTATATTGTCTGATTGTCCCCGACTGACCGTCCTGTTACGTAGTAGCGTTCAATTACTACTTTTAGAAATAATTTGATATTTCAATTATGCAGAGCGGATCAGACAAGTCTAAAGTATTATAGCCATACTGTGGCAACAGGATCAAAGAACTTTATTCTTTAAACCGTAATTGCACCAATTGGGTTATCAGATCAAGAATTATAAACAAATATGGTATCGACTGTTAAACGTATAAAAGTAAATTTAACAAATACAAGGGCAAACATGAAACGAGGGTTTAACAAGAAATCACATAAATATAAATTTCGAGGTAATGCGACATTAACCTTTGTATTAAGCTCTAAAAATTACGAAAATATGTAAAGATAAGGTAAATACATGTCCCTCAGATTCCCAAATCGGAAAGACAAAGAAATTAACATTGACAATAAAAAAATACTCAACAATCAAAAATAGGAACCTTTAATAGTCCATTACTAGTTTCATTGTTTGCCTAATTTGATAGCCTGAAATGGTATCATAATTGGCCATCCATTAAATGAGGTTTTATTTACCTCAAATCATTTTCTCGAAAACCTTTTTGTTTTCGTACTTAGCATCTGAATGAAAATATGACGAATTGACGATATTCTAAAGAAATTCGCGTTGAACAGGTTAATATTATCAGTGAATTATCATCTACGTATTATTCGATGCATATATTTTACTGTAATTTTAATGCAAGTCTTTATTAATGATACTCCAAGACAGTATGCTTTCTATATATTTTTATAAAAATGAAAACAGTTAACATTCACAATGCTCATGAGTTATTGGATTGTGGACTTTTTTTTCGCGTGACATAATGCATGGAAAAGATCAATCCTAAGAAAGTCTAACAATGATTTTTCTCGCATGTTTTAATTTTAAAAAAAAATAATGGTTACACTGTTAAACGTGATTGCTACTGCTGATATGTGCATGGACGCGATTTCAATTTGGGAGAAAAAGTAAATTAAGAAAACTGTAGATATATATATATATATATTTTAATTATTATAAATTACTTTAAAAATAATAAAAGAATACATCTCATATTTAGCCATATGTATTTTTTCGCACCTTTGTTGTCTCAAACTTTTTCATTAATTGCCGCTAGACTCCAGATAGCAAATCCTGACAGGATAATTGCTTCCTAATAACTGCCGCTCCGAGACTTTAAAGATATAAGTTCACATCCGTCGTTAACTAACTTAACGGGGTGTCGGGTGTTTCTTTTTTCATCCCTCGTCATAAATCCTCACATTATGGCATCATCAAGCACCACGTTCACATCAGACTCATCAAACGTTCCTTATGCAAATTTTCCTGTAAATCCTCTTTATAAAGGAGACGTTCAAAAAATAAAACAAACAAATATAATTAAACATTTAAATATTACTTTGAGCATAGCGAGTATTATCGGTGGATTTATAGTATTAATTATAATATTAATAATGTGGCTTTATGATAAAAAGTTAGTAAACAGAGTTTCACTCCGACTTTCGGGATTAATTTCGTTTGTAGACATTTTATCGGGAGCTGCGGCAATAGCATATACTTTATATGCTGTCGGAGATACAAACGCATGTACTTTTATCGGATGGGCAATGTCTTTTCTTCCGACATTATATCTGTTCTTGACAGTGATGATAGCATTTAACCTGCAGGTAATTGTTTTAATCAAAAATTTTGAAATTAAATTTTGAAATTTTTTTGAAACTAATTTATTATTACAAATTTTTAGGTTGTATTTCTTCATCGTAAAAAAGTTTCGTCTTTTTCTGATAGATGGTATATACCAGTGGCTTTCTTTACCTCTTTTGCCATAAACATTTTGCCTTTGATTTATCATCGATTTGGATATGATACTGAAGGAAAACAATGTCTTTATCGCGATCCTGGTGGAGATGGAACACTAAAGTGGAGATTATTTACTTTTGTCATCCCAGTTTCTTTTTCTATGCTATATTGCACATCAGTTCTCATAGTTGTTATAATGAAATTAATTTTTGAACATCGAAAACTGGTCGACGCAGTTCACACGCAAAAAAGTAATACAACATTAACAGCAAAGAATAAACGACAAAAATTGCTCTTATTGAAATTAGTTAGCCGCATTTCTTTATATGCAGCAATTCCTCTTTTAAATGTTAGTGGAATTGTTGTTGAATACACTATGTTATCTATTAATAAACAGCTTCGATTACCACCACCTATTACTTATTGGGCAGTTATTGGATCATGCCTTCCCGGTATTAACTTTTCTAACTTTTACCTTATACTTTGTAAAATTAGATATTTAATAATTATTAAAATTATTCATTTTTAGGTCTATTTAATTGTCTTGCTTTTCTTTTTGATCCTGCTATTCATAATGCTCTACGAAAAGTTAAAAAAGATCTTATTGATAATTACGGTTATGAGAAACGTGGAGTTACAGCTTCCTTGAATACTCCTCCTTTATCACCATCTTTTCCGCCAACACCAACTAGTCCATCATTTATTCCTCCACCTTCACCAACATCGCCACGTACACCTGGTATGCGAATCTTGATACCACCTTATTCACCAAACAGATCCGCTGTCTCGCCACTTGGATCCGCTTTTTCGCCACTTAGATCTCAATTTGACCATAATGTTACTCGAACTAAAATGAATCCAAACCGGCCAATTTTAAGATGGTTTGTCAGGACGTTTTTAGACAAGCAAAAACTTCCCGTCATACCAAATGGCCTTTCAATAAGTTCAGGATCAGATCGTGGACATGCATACAGTTCTGCTAGCGCCAATTCTGGAGTCATATCTGGTCAAAGTTTTGGTCATGATTATCGTAATGGCGAAACACGCAAGTATACGTATGACATATATAACAGCGCAATTGATAAGCGAAGGAAAACATTTATGAAGCGAATATCACGTGTTCTAGCTACGCCTACTGAAGAACGTGAATTGGACTTTTCAATAACAACCTCTACAGAAACAGTTGTTACAAGCAGTGATTTAACAGATTCATTTGAATCCGAGACCAAAACAGTAGTTAACCCTTCTAAAAAACCATGTCACAAAGAAAAACCACGATTAGTTTATGAACATAATTTTGATGGTAGCGGCGCATTTTTATTTCCTCCTGTGGTGGGAAACACTACTATTAATATTCATGTGCATCAGTATCCTTCAAATACTTATATTGAAGCAGGGCCGTCACGATATTTCAATCATCGCAGATCTGATTCTAGTGATTCCGCAATATCAAGAGATTCAGTTGATAATGAATTATCAGCATATTAATAAGAAAAAAAAAAAAAGAAAAAAAAATTTAGTTTTATAATTAATTTTTCACCATTTATGTATTTGTTGAATAAGAATAAACACAAGAAGTAATCTCTATAATTGTATATAAACACTCTTGTATTCTATAATCTAAAGAATAAGTATTTTATTTTAGCATGTTTTATATATAAATAGATTTTTGTGTGTCCTCATAATTACGTGTATTTTTTTTTGTCAGGAAAAGAGTAAGGATATTAATTTCATTTTAGAAATAGATTTGCTTCCATTATTGATATTCAGTTTATTTATTTTTATTTTATTTATTTTTACTATTTATTATTTTATTTTATCGTTATTTATTTATTATTTGTTTATTTATGATATCGACAATAGCAATCTAACAAAAAAAAAAAATACAAAAAAATAAAAAGCAGGAAAATAATATCTATTTTGAAGTCGAATTTTGATTGGAAAAATTATTGCAAATGTAGAAAGTTTGCGGGGCTACACATAGTAAATACTGGCCATTCAATAAGTGTCGTTTTTGATTCATATTATATTAAAATTTGATGTATCAAAAGCGAACTTCAAACAATGGGCAGTGGCGCAGTAAATGGCCACCGTATACTATATGTCGGGTCCAGGGTACTGCGGTGCATAATTCTGCTCACGCTAAAAATAATTTTTATATTGTTCTCATGAGACACGTGATTTAAATCACTTTCTAAATCAAATTACAATGTAAAAAAGTATTTTTAGCGTGAGCAGAATTATGCACTGCAGTACCCTGGAACTCTAGCGAATGCGTTTAATTACACAGTTGTGACATTCAACTACCCTTATCGTTTATCGTTATATAACAAAAATGAATTGTATCGTTTCATTATATGTAGTTTTAATCGTATCAGATGCAAAATGCAAAAGTACGTGGGCATTGTTATTAAAAGATGTGATAGGCTGTGTGCATATTATAGAAGCTGACGGGATAGTGCGAAGCCTCCAACAGGTACGCACGTCGTACTTAGTAATTCAAAATATATAAAATCACGTACAGTCATTTATCGTTATGGTAATAAGGAAAAATTCCCAACCTTATAACAGAATGTGGTAATAATGATTAAGTGTACAGTCGTACTCACATACAAGCACCACCTATATAAATACATCGGTTTATAAGCACATTTATTTCTTGAATAAATTATTATTAAATATATATATAAATATAATTCTCTATATAAACACATCCTAAGTACATTTCCTATAAAAGAACACTTTTTATAGGTCCCGATAGTGTGTGATTGTATGAGGCTACGACTGTATAATGTTCTTCTTTTCGTTAATTTCAATCTAATATTTGAGTCTCGCCTGACTAACATACTTTATAAGAGACTACCCATGTAAGGTTTTGGCTGAAGCTAAATCATGCATTATTTGCAGTCACATATTAGTCCCACCAATTTGGAGGTAAATAATGATAAATTTAGAATTTCTAAAAATCATAAAATGCATAAACGTGGTTTCGTGGTGTAATGGTTATCACTCAGGACTTTGAATCCTGCGATCCGAGTTCGATTCTCGGCGAGACCTCTTCTAAATATTTTCTTATCTACATATTAAATTATGAATATTTGCGTATTTATTTATTAATTTTATTTTTGATTTTATGCAGATAGGTTGGCGTGCTCATTATTCTAATTTTCATTTACAGATTGTTTTGTAATTAATGTATTAAATATTATGCCAGAATGCAACTGATGTCAAACCATTTGGATTTTTAAAATTATGTACATACAGTATAGTGTCCAGACTTATGCAATTTCAGGGATTTTTCATTGTTTGAACAATGAAAAATCCTTGAAATCGCATAAGTCTGGACACTCTATTGTGAACCAAAGCCTGGAACTACGGTCCGTATATATTCACAGAATCGAATGTGTGGCACTTTAATCATTATGAACTGAAATTGTTTTCTTTATCATGTTATATCAGTTTAGTATACAAAATAAATACAGTATACAACCGAGGTGCAAGTCGCTGAGGCATAAAAAAATTTAATATAAAAAAATAAAATCATTTAATATTTATTTTTGTTATAAAAATAAATTTAAAAGTATATACATAAAAATTGCAGTATAATATATATAACGTAAATAAAAAATTATAATACGTAATAAAATAAAAGAATAATATATATATATATATATATATATAATAGGTTAATAAATACATTAAAAGTAGATAAAAAAATAAATATACGTATAATATATATAAGCTATATATAGTTATTTCTGGCATCGACAGTATAATAACCTTAGGCCACGTGCTTTTGCTATTATCCAGATAACAAGAAAGTATACAAGTACGTAGTATAAAATTAGATAAAATATTTACTTTTTAATATTATATATACGTACGTAGCAAGATTTAATGAGCTAATATATACATATATATAAATTTACAAATATATATGCAATATAAATAAACTTATATCTAATATATATATATCGGATATATAATAGCCAATATAATAATAGTTTAAGATTAAAACTAAATTGTTATAACTGTAAAAATAAAAATACTTTAAATTTTTATTCAAAATTAATTTAAATTTTAGTATTAACTAAGTTTAATATTATATATAAATATAATAATTTTATCAAATATAGTATATACAGTAAAATATACTGTATATACTATATTCAATCTTTTAATGTTTTTATATACAAAAGTTTTTTATTTTTAGTTCTAAAACACTAGTATATACCGTAGCTTTATAATGTTTTTAAATACAACTAAATACAATGTAACTTGGTTATTTAACTATATATATACTTATTTATTACAAATACAACATGTTTAACTTCAAAATAATTAGTAAATATATTAATATTCTTCAAATTCGTGATCATCCTGCAACATAAAATTTCCGAGTTCACTAGTTAATTGAGGTGTAAACCTATTTCTAAAGGGGCTATACATTAACCCAACTACAGGATCTGAATGATCCATTCCAGTCATTATTCTAAGTCTTAAATCTTCAATGTTTAAATCACTCAACACCAAATTAAGCTTCAAAGTTGAATCTAATGGAACAGTTTCATCCTATAATAAAATATTATTAATAATCATAATAACAATTCATATAATCACGTAATTTCAAAGAACCACAATACCATATCTCCATGAATTAGTAAAATTTTTTGGGGTATTAGCTTCTTTAACCTATTAATATCAACTTCTCTATCTTTCATTGCACTTTGAAGAAGTAAAGCTGGAGAGTTCATCTCAAAGGTTTCAGGTGTGTCTCCTATAATTAAAAGATGAATTTACGCATTTTTTATAATAATAAATTAATGAGAACCCGGTTTAATCATTGATCGATATATATACACTGTAACTACTAACTGGTGGCCAGGACAAAGGCTACCGCCGTACTTGGGGCATCTTTCATTTCGTTTTTTCAATATTCAAAAGCTTTATACCCCTTTAGTATTTTTGGCCCTCTAATCGTCTCCATAGGAGATCCACAAGCCAGCAGTTTACGGTGTGTATAATATCACTAATCTCGTCATTAAAAGTCATCGAAATTAATAAGGTGCCGGAAATCTATAATCACTATAGCTTTAGAATTAGTCTAAAGTTATTGGTCGTTTTTTTTTTTAAAAAAAAAAAAAAAAACTTAGCGTTTATAGCAGCTCGATCACATTATTAGGACTGTAGATTGCCGGTACCATAGTAATATTGTGATTCGACCAATAGTTAAAAAAAGTCTCTGGACAATTAAAAAACATACCCATCACACGGCCCATCGGGGAAACTTCCTCAACACCACGTTTAGTTTCCCAGAGATAATGTCTTCCTATATCGTATACGCCTATTGCATTCAAATAAAACGATCAAGAAGGTATCCACACATTATATCTAAATATAGGACAAAGATTTAACATTACCAGCCATCCTAACAATAAACGTATCCGTACTTGAATGAGTCTCACTACCCAATGGCACATGATAACTTAATAAATTTAAAAGATAAATAAACTTACAAAATAAGTCCAGCAATTTTAGGAAGTTCCAATTCAGGGTCAATATCATTTAGACTTGAGCTTACTCTTCCCTCCATAGTTTGGGATTTAATAATTGAATCACGAATTGTAATAAGGGAACCAAGGTGAGCGCCTGCAGAATGGCCCTATAAATTTAATGTGTAAAGTAAATTTATTATAATTATAATTACAATTATTATTATTAAAAAAAAAAAATAGTTTACCATAATGTAAATTTTATTTGGATCTCCGCCAAATTTACTTTTTATGAATAGAACAATGTTAAATTCTATATATGCGTAAGTATTGATCGAAACAATCTCAATATGTCAACTCACCTAATGAATCTTTTTGTCCATACCAAAGAGCGTTTGATGTCAGACAACATAACGTCAATCTTTGCCTACACATTTGTCAAACAACGTTTATATAAAACGTTCCGAATAAAATATTTTAATATCAGAGATGTTAAGTTCACTCACTTTAGGATATAAAGAAAAATTCGGTACAACTACTACATAACCCATTTGTCTCAAACGCAGAGCTAATAAACTATACCATATTTTATCTCCTATAAAATAGTAAATCAATTTGTAAAAATGGAAAACACCAAAACTAATCAAAAAATATATATATTACCTGAACCCCAAGAACCACCCTGAATAAACACAATTACAGGATGAAATGCAGCATCAAATATTTGAGGATATTTTGAAGTGTCAGGAATATAGACATCAAGCCTATTGGAATTCGAACTGCTACCATAATAAATATCCTCCCTTTATAACAGCAAAAAAAAAGATGATGCGTTAAATTGATGAAAAAGCCAAAAAAAAAATAAACAATTAGATCATTAATAAATAATAAATACTTTATTATGCGTCTAATTCGTTTACCTAACACAAAGAATTTAAAATACCCATATTCAGCAAACAAAGGTACAAACATAATAATACTTGTCCATAGCATGGAGAAGAAAGCATAATTGATTTTAAATATACGCTTGGGATTGTAGGGAAGATTGAATGGCCTGTCAGTTTGTCCTATTTTTTACGCATTCAAAGAAATTGGTCAACAGTTAAGACACGTATATACGATTTTGATATATACGATAAGACTTACCCTTATATAAATATACTATCCATGCGATACTATATGCACACACTAAAATTAATCAGAATCAATTATGTTCGTCATAAAGTGAATTTTTGAATTTTAGGTTAATAAAGAGGGATTTATCACAGTAAACACAACCTACCAAGAACACTGCCAACTACGATGGGCAAGAAGACCCAACCAAACAATGCAAATGGTGGGACAAACATCAGTATTAAAAATGTTGAACCAACTAAATACGACCCACATAGTACTAGAACTAACGCGTGACGAAGTAAGTCAATGTGTAATCCTGCCATCGTTGTTAATAATTGACAAAAATACGAAAAAAATACAAGAATATTTGCCGGGGAAGGTTAAATCTAAAGGATTTTCTGGTTAATGTCTTAATTATTCAGAATAGATGAGAATTGAAATCCTAAAATTCTTCTTTAGAATTAAGGATGAACTTCTACCAATAAAACATGAGACATAGACATTGATAAGAGAATATCAATTAACGAAAAAATTTTCAATGAACATTCTTATTTATGAACGAATTAGGCCAGTGATCTGTTTGTGCAATCTTCGTTATTTTTTCTAATACAAACTGATCAGAATTTTTAAATTGATAAGATCAACTGATTGATTTTAAAATTTCAAATGTCTATCAGCTAAACTTTAATAGTACCAATTATCGAATACTAAGTAAATCACTAAAAACCCATTTTAATAGTCGGAATAAAGTTTATATGTCGCTGAATCTTTGTAGCGATTACAGAGGACACTGCGGGCTTTTAAAATAGGTTAACTCGTAGCACTAATAATAATGTTATACCTTAATTGCTTATCCTTTATTTAACAATCATACCAGATACCAGATACAGTATACGTACTGTACGTACTGTACGTACAGTATATCACTACGTATTTAACTAATTTCAGCGAATTCTGTAGTAGCCGGCAAATAAATCGTGGTCACATCTTGCTTAAAAATAACCGTGCAAAATTAATAGAATCTCACGGGCGCCATTCACATTTCTGTCGCTATTGACAGATACATAACTTATGCACAGTATAGTATGCCTTAGGAACTATAATTATTACAATATTTTGAATCTCGCATGTACTATGTCATTATTTGTCCTGTTCTACCATTAACGATGTTAAGGACGATGATATCAAAAGTTTAGACAAGCTATACATTCATTCACCCATGAGACTATGAAATATGAACAATGTATATGTATGATCCCCATAAGGGTTATTCCCATTTCTGGATGCAATGTCTTAAATATATGTTACGTAGACCATCGTTATGACGTACGTACGTGTTATCAATCACAACATAAGTACATACAGTATGTTACGAAGATACAAATACTCTAATCCCCAAACTCGTAAGGCAGTTTTGTATTCAAATACTTTATTTTTGAAAGTTTCTTCCGTGTTTAAAATAAAGGCGACTTCGGATTGGTTGCTCTTGCTTCCTCGTCTCGCAATTTTGGCTAATTAACAAGGTCTCGTGCTTGGATCCTTGATAGCCTTATCAAGTCATCGTCAATGCGTTCTACATTCGGTGATTAGGTAAGAAACTCGGCGTGTCAATAGCGGCATGCCCATGATTGCATGTCATAGTGGCATGCTAATGGCATGTTAAGATCGCCATTATTAATAAAAAGTATAAATATATATTAGTATGAAATTGCGTTTGCGATATTGTCGTACCGGTACTTTAAAATTTATATCAGTTACACGATCCATCATCCAAGATTTTTAGTTAAACCGTTTTTTTTATAAATTAAATACAGTAGTATAAAAAATATAAAAAAAGCAATGTTTTCTATAAAAATTATATTTTTGAAGCTAGAAATTGGTTTTTTTTTATAGTATTTATATTGGTTTTTGTTAGTACAAATATCAAATTTGCTTTTAATATACAGCATAATACAGTAATTTAAAAGTAGTTTTATTAAACTTGAAATTACTTAATAGTACTATAGTATATACTGTACATTATATATATATATAAAATCTACTCTATTTATTCACATATAGCAGGTCTGGCATCACTTGATAATTTTATAGCAACCACTAATGCAACTTGTCAAAAAACATTGTCAGTTTTATCAAGAGCCAAACCAAAATAGCTTAATATTATTTTTGATATAATTTTTAATTATATTTTGTTTACTATTTTTTTTTTTGTTTGTACTAACTTTGCTATCTTTTTTGAGGTTTTTCTCTTCCTTATAATATATATGTATATATTTTTAATCTGGTGCTTGTCTTTATTAACAAGCTAATACAAGTTAATATATTAAACATTTGTTTTTTGTAAATTTAACTCTTTAATTGCAAGCCTGGCTAAAATAAATATACCCAGATGTGACTTATTATATTAGCTTTAAAAAAGTTAAAAGACTTTGTCAGCTCATCAAAAACTAATCTTTTCAATTTTTTTTTTTTTTACTAAAGCAAAAGAAAAAAAAAAGTTGGATCTATAATACAAAACTGAAGCTAAAAAAAAAAAAAGAAAGTTATAACTAAAAAAAATAAAATAAATAACAAAAAAGAAAATTTAAAGAAAAATAAATAGAGAACAAAAAGATATAAAAAAAAAACAGAAAGAGAAGTTTATAAAGCTAAACAAAGTAAATTATCTTTATTAAAAAGTAATTACAAATAAAAAATGATAAAAGTATACTATTATAATCTGTGTTAGGCTAATACTAAATACAATATTTGTATACTGTATCTCTACTATAAAGCTTTGCTTTAATATATATTTTCCTTTTCAAATATATGATTACTATTGGATATTTTTTTAACCAAAGATCTCGATCCAAGTTATATAGAGTAGTGTTATATTTATAAATAAACAAAACCTATAGTTGCAGTTTATTGAATTTGTCCAAATTTGAAATGTAAATAATACTAATCTTTTAAAAGAAGTAAGCCAAATTTCTACTTTTTTTCAAAAATTTTGAAAGACTAAAAATAAGTAAAAAAAAAAGAATTACTTAACCAAGTAAAAGAAGTAGATTAAGAAAAAACATATTATTAGTTGTTTTTACTATGTTTTCTTTTGAAATAACAATCTAAAAGCTTCATTAATAAAATTATCTAGAACCTTGAATATCTAGAATATAGGTAAAACCCAAACATCTCTGATTTAAGCTATATATTTTTTTAGTAAATTGCAGAAATTTTGATTAGAGGTTCAAATTTAAGTTTCAGCAAATTGACATTAATTTTTAAATAGTTATAATTAACTATTTTGTTAAATTACATCATGTTATATTTTATTTTTAGCAAATTACCTGCATTTTGAAAAAATAATACTCAAGAATAAGCTATCTCATTTTTTAAACTACTATAATTTTTCAAAATTCAAAAAAAGATGTTAAAATATTGAGAATAATAATATTTTTTAGTATTTTTATTAATAAAATTATATAAAATATTATAATTCTAACTTTATTAGATTATCTAAATCAAAAATTTTAGCTAAAAAAAAACAAAATACTTGATAGAGAGTTATAGTCTATTATTGCAAGTTGTCTAGAGATTAACTCTTTTTTCTTTGAAACTCCTCTAAAAAAAAAGTTTGGTATGCAAGCCAGGAGCATTATTATTCCTTAAACCATCTAGCAGGCAAATTTTTAAATTTTCTCAAAATTTATTCAAGTTTGCCTCTTTATTTCTTAAGTAAAAATTAAAAATATCTGTTATATTAATAATATATTTAAATTTTATTATTTTATCTTTAATTTTGACAAAGAAATTACATTTTTAATAAACTTAATTTTTTAATTTTATTATTAAAATTTTAAAAAGTTTTTTAAAACTTTATATGAGAGTTAGAGTCCCATAGCCTAGTGGTCTAGATGCCTAACCCTCCACAGACAAGGTCGACAGTTCAATTACAGCTAGTGGTAATTAATTAAATTAATTATCTCTGTAACTTGCGAGGGCTTTTGAATGTGGAATTTTGTGGTGGTAAGACCATGTGAAGTATATATTTGGCTGATAAAGAATTCTTAGAAGGAGTTCTGAGTTATAGAAAAGATTGGGCACTATGTGTAATATGGGTCACAAAAGGTATTATTGCAAAAGGCTGTGCGTGTGAATTCACGATTGGTAAGGTAGCACCAACAACTCTAAGGTGGTATTGGGATCTTGATTGGGAGAACAGCTATATGCAGTATATCCAGAAGTGGTGAGAGAAGCAGTGAATATAGTAAGGGGCTGTGGTAAGAGAATGAATTTACCAAATATAGAACACCTCTGGTGCAATGAAGAAACAAAGAAAACTGGTTAAAAGAAACTCTGAAAAGCATGGAAGCAAGCACCCTGGTGGTACAAACATAAAGACAGCTAGTGAATATAGTCGCACAACCTATATAGGAGTCTATGACAAAACATAACAGAAGCGAGGGTTCCGGGTTATTGCTTTGTAGCAGAGGTTCTTAACTCCCACTCTAAGGATCTAGACTTCTGTATTACCATACCGATAGAGAGTACTTAAAAAGAGGTGGTAGCCTAATTAAGTGGTGTACGATGTTAATACCTGAACCCATGTGAATAGCTCTCCTAATAGCAGTAGCAGGTAGCTTGAGATACGGATCTTCGGATAGCGGCAGCATCTGGCTTGAGATACAGATTAGGCTCTGAAGTAACATACTCGAGGAATACCAAACTGGAAGCAAGAAGAGCAGTAGGATACCACCTATAATATAATTATATTATAGGTGGTATCCCACTTAGATTAGATTATATAATCTAGATACCACTATATAATCCGAATATCATTATATAATTTAGATATCTCTATATAGTCCGGATAGCACTATATAATCTAGATACCACTATATAATCTGAAAATCATTATATAATCTAGATCAGTGTTGTTCACTGGAATGTTCCAGTAGGAATTACTGGAACTGGAAGATCACTAGACTTAACTGGATGGAATTGGAAGCATAATAGCTTCCAGTGATCAAATGTCACTAGACCATTCCAGTGAAGATTTTTATCGCTAGAATGGAAATTCCAGTGATGTCCAGTGACTTCAAGTGGCTTCTGATTGGCCAATTCGAATCAATCACCGAAGATAGCAAGCAGATATTAAAGTGACATAAATTTGAGCTCCGGGTACCTACCCGTTGGGATATGATCAACTCACTGACTTCGTAGACACCACATTTCACTGACAGTTTATTTCACTGAAGTCCATTTTATAGACAATATAATTCTGGTCAATATCATTAGGGTTACGTTAGAATTAGAGTTGAAGTTAGTGTAATTTATAAAAAAA